TCATTAATATGAAAAGTTTGACTTTCCCATAGCACTGCAGCCAACACCACCAAGTGTTCCTGTTTGTTGGCACACGCCTGTGAGCACATTGTAACATTTTCTGTATCTGCTGCTGCTGTGTAAATGAAAAGCAGTAACAGGACAAGCTAAATGCTTGTTGAAAGACACAGACACTTGCCAACAAGGAAAAAGAGATGTGCTGGAGGCTAGATTCAAGGTTTCTATGCCCTGGTGACAAGCAGCAGCCCAGAGGTGTTTGGATTTGTTCTCTATTGCCGCCTTCTGGCTGAGCAGGCCCAGAAAAACCAGCCGACAAAAACTCCTGCCTGTAGCCCAACTCAAATCACAGGTATTGCAGCACCGCAGCGGGCCCTGTCAGCTGGGGGGGTGTGAGCCTCACATTGTGCTCAGCCTGGAGGGCTGCTCTGCCATGGGAATTCCATGGGAAATGCAGCCTGCTCTCTTGAACTCAACGGGGCTATTCCAGCAGTGACTCCAGGAGTCAGTTCTGGGATATTTGTGAGGCAACTGTTGCTCCTTGGAATATGGTTATTTGCATTTTGTCCAAAGCTGAGTTAGGTAGGTCAAAAGCAGAAAATAATGGCTCAGTGCACAATGTTGCTGTAAGTATTCTTCTGATTATCTAGAAGGTATTATGATCTCCAAACCAAGAGTGGAATTTTGTCGTTGGTATATTTTCCTGAAAGATGTAGATTATGAGATTCACACTTCACAGGGGTAGCAGATTTATGACTCGGAATAGTTTTGGGGACAATGTGAGCATGACCATTTTGCATTGTTAAAACAAAACTGGGAGAAACCTTTCAGGGGCTGGGCTGTCAGGTCCAGTGCCAGCCTGGGACTGAAGGCCAGAGACCTCTGACAGAGCAACAAGGTCTTAGAATAATTTTGGAGCTGTCATTCTATCAAATCCTATCTCTATGATCCCAAAGTGTAGCTTCCCCTGTACTCGGCCACACCTTGAGTGCTGCGTTCAGTTCTGGGCTCCTTAATTCAAGAAAGACATTAAGGTATTGGAATGAGTTCAAAGGGCAACAGAGCTGGTGAAGGATCTGGAGCACAAGTCCCACAAGTGGCTGAGGGAGCTGGGGTGTTTATCCTGGAGAAAAGGAGACTCAGGGGAGACCTCATCACTCTCTACAACTCCCTGACAGGAGGGTGTGGCCAGGTGGAGGTCGGGCTCCTCTCTCAGGTGACAATGATAGGACTAGAGGATAGTCTTAAGCTGCACCACGGGAGGTTTAGGTTGGACATTAGGAAAAATTTCTTCACAGAAGGGGTGACTAAACGTTGGAATGGGCTGTCCAGGGAGGTGGTGGAGTCACCATCGCTGGAGGTGTTTAAGACTGGACGTGACAGTGCCATGGTCTGGTTGACAAGGTGGTGTTCAGTCATAGGCTGGACTCAATGGCCTCAGAGGTCTTTTCCAGCCGAGTTGATTCTGTGATTCTATGTAAAGCCCTGCCCAGGGCAGGCAAGGCAGCGAAGCTGGCTCTCAGACAGGACACCCTCGCCTGGGATTAGATTTAAGAGCCCTAGCAGCCGTGAGGCGGGAAGCGCAACCCTCGCCGCCCCGTGGCACAGGGAAGCCCAGGATGGCTACCCCCGTCCTCATTCCTCGAGCTGCCTCTCGGGAGGCCGCCCCCGTCCCGCCGCCCGCTCGGGGCCGGCCCTGCCCCCGCCGGGCGGGCGGCGGAACGGAACATGGCGGGGCCCCTCCAGCCCGCGCTTCCCCGCCTTTCCCCGCGGCGGCGCGCATGCGCGGTGCGCGACGGCGAGGCCGTATCCCTCCGCGCGCCCCTTCTCCCTCGATGTGTGTGTTAATAAGGTAATTCCCGCGCCCATGGTAAGTGCCCGGAGCCCCTCCGGGCCGGCCCGGGCCGCCCCGCGCCGCCTCGCGCCCGCCCGCGCGCCCGCGGCCGCCCAGCGCCGCGCGGGGCCGCGCCACTCCCCTCCGCCCGCCGTGTCCCTCCGCCGGGCGCGGCGCGGACTCTCGTGTGGGGCTCTCGGCCTGCGGAGCCCCGACTCGGTGCGGCGGCGGCGGTGGCGGCCGGGTCGGCAGCACGGTAAGGGCCCGTCCCCGCGCCCCGTCTCTCCCTCACCCCCCCCGGGCCGGCCAAGCCTTTCCAGGTCAGTCTGCGCCTTTGTATAGGGCCCTGTTACCGGATGTGGAAGTTGATCTCTTCGCTGGTAAAAAATAATTCCACTTCCCCCGGAACCCGGCGCCGCGGCTCCCTCCGCAGCGCCCAGCCCAGCCAGGATTTCCTGTCGGGGAGAGCGGGCGGCCGGCCGGCCTTCCGGGGACCCCGCCGCGCGGGGGGCGCGGGCGGCGGGCAGGGCCGCGGCGGCGGCCTGGGCGGCCCGCGGGGCCGCGGCGAGCGCGGCGAGGGGCCCGGGGGCCGAGGGGCAGAGCGGGGCCCGGCTCGTCCCGCGGCTCTGCCCGCCGGGCAGCGCAGTGAGGGCCGCGTGGGGACGGCCCCGGGCCCCGCGGGGGGCGGGTGGTCGGTCCGTGCCCCGGCCCGGCGCCCCCGGGGCGGCGGAGCTGCGAGCCCAGGCTTGGCGCCAAAGGTGCTCTGGGGAGAGGCGGCTCGGGCGGGACGGCAGCGCTTCCCCGCCGCAGTGCCCCTCTCCCGGAGTCTGTAACTCGTGCTTTGGACTCTTAATAAAGCGTATGGTGGGAGTATAAACGTGGGATGAGGTGTTACAGTGTGGACTCTTTTTTTCCTATTCTCCCCGGTAGTCAAAGTAGTTTCCGTTGGTGGGGCACTGGTGAAGTCCCCTGTAGGAAGTCGGCTGCGCTTACAGTTCTTGAAGCATTTGTATGTTTTCCTGTAACCTGCTTACTAAGATAGCTTACGTTTAGTGGGAAATGCTGCATAGTAAAGTTAAATATAGAGTTGTGAATGCTTGCCCTGTAGTTCTTTAGCCTATTTGCTTTTAAGTTATTCATTACTTCTGAAGTATTACTGAGACTAAGCAGTTTGGTTGAGCTGTGTATGCCCACAAAAGTACTTGTAAGGGAACCTCAGTCTGCTGTGTGAGTGAGGTTAAGAGTGTATATGGCAGATCAGCACACACTACATAGAGATGCTTGTTCGTGACCCACTTTCTTTGCTGAAATCACTTTGTTTTCGAGTTGGGTTTTTTTTAGGCCTATGTGCTAGACAGAAACTGTCGAGGAAGAGTCCTTCTGATATAATGGATGCTGTAGTTGGAAGGTGGATGACTTTTATTTAACGGTATTTCAAGTTTCAATTAATCTGAGACATCCTCTTAAGGCTGTAGTACAATTCAAAGGCTAGATCACAAGCACTTAGATCCTTCGTGTTGATTGTAGCTGCTGTAAAGTAACCTTTTTGGTATCTAGTGCCAAACTTATTTGTGAAAGCTTTGTAGCTTGTTGGCAGTGCCAACACAAATCTTGGTGCCAATGGTTCGCCCTTGTTGCATAATAACACTCTTTAGGTGTTGCAGATAATGACCAAATCTGTGCTCTCCTTTGTAAGGAGACGACTTTCCTACCATCTGTATTATTTAAGGGACTTGCATTGTTGATGAAAGCTTATTTAAATCAATGTATGAACCTAATTGGAGGACAGACCTGCATTAGTAAGGGCTTGAATGTCTTCTCCACTACGCTATTCAACAATGTTTGCTTTTCTCAGATCAGGTATTTTTCATCTGGTGCATGTCTGACATGAAGGTCATGTTGCTGTTGGAACAAACTAGAGAGAAGTTAATTAAAAAGTCATAGGGGAGAGCTGAAAGCACTGGAATTAAAGCTGATTGCGACTGACATATTAGTGTAATTTTCACTATCATGATAGAAATGTGCATAGTCTAAGCCTATGATATTTATATTAAAATTTGAAGTATCACATGTGAAATTATTGTCAAAGTACATTTGATTCCCTCAGGAAACAATACATGAACTTTTTGAGCTTATCCCATTCAAGTTGCTGTAATCGCTGCTAATTGATGTGTACAGTAAAATCATGCCAGAGTGTTTAAGTGATGCTAACTAGTATATGCTGTGTTTCAAAATATTGTTGACCCTGGTATGGACAGGCACATAAAATTAGCTAGGAATGGCAATTCTGAGTTTCTGCTGTTAATGTGTGATGTTGGAATTAGTACGATGATGGCATTTCTGAAGGTCAGGTCTGGGGAAGCAGGTTAATTTTTGTAATAGGGGAAAGAAGGACATTCTGAAAGGGCATTCTTTTTCCAGATGTAATGGATGTGAGAGATGGTGAGTCTCCAGCAATTTTCCAAGTACACTTCTTCCATGTATCACTTCAGTAGGGAAACCTCTTTAATTAGCCTTTAATGGAACTTTGTCCTGGAGTTTTTAGGAATGATTGCAAATCCTTATTAGGCAGGTAGGTGGGTTGCATGGAGCAGTCCATGCTCCTCTAGTGGAAGGATGTCTCTTCCAGGAGTGTACTTAGTACAAACACTGGCGGTTGCAGGATCTCTGGGTCGGCAGATGTTTTGCAGCAGCTGTTTTGTGCCTGTTGATTTTGACCAGCTGATGCTCAGCACTCAGTGGTAGAAGAGGAACAAGGCTGGGTCCAGGATCCTTGTGGCAGGACACCAGTCTGAAAGATGCTGCAACATTTTAAGCCAAACTTAATTTTTCTTTGGATCGCAGACTTTGCTGCTCCGTTGTCTGTAGGCTGTGGTGTGGTAGCCCAGGTATCCCAAGCTGCATGTTTTTCAGCTCCACTTGCTCCCCATGGAGCCCATTTCACACACAGTTCCACCTAAACTCCTGCTGAGTGCTATTATATACCCCTCTGATATATCATCTTCAGAGTTTTATAGAATGTATAAAAACTTAGATCTAAGATGGATGCAAAAAAGTAGTATGATTTTCTATTGTACTGAAGTAAAATAGCAATAATACTTTGATATAAGTATTAATTACCAGTTACTTGTGGCATCTGGCTAATGATACTGTACAGAATGCATTGCAGTAGTGAAATGTGGAAGTTCAGGAGGTCCAAAGAAGTCCAAAGCCAGCAGAAGCTCTCCCCGATTTACTCAGTTGTAGACAAAACCCTCTGTTCACACAGTTGTGTAGGAGCTGTTAGAAGTCTGAAAACACAATCAGATTGCCATAAAAATAACTATAACAGTCTCAAAACTATTTCAGAGCCAGTGATGTTTTTATTCTCTGAAAGAGTCCTCATGTAAAGTGTTACACAGGTGTCGTGCTGGCCAAGCTAGATGGAAACAATACCGGAAAGAGAACCCTCTAAGACAGTTCAGTAGAGTTCATTGTAACACACTGTGGAGTAGCAGCAGAGTCCTGCTTTGAAATGGTAATCTCATTTCAATTTTAAATATCTAATTGTATTACATATATAAAACTTTGCTTGTGATAGTGTCACTGCACTATTGTAGTGTTACTAAATGATCTCACTACAGCAGCTGAAAAATTTTTCTGGAAAGGGAAATTCTCACACTGCAGACCCTTCTTGGTATGTTCCAGTCACAGCAGCTGGAGGAGTGTGGGGCATGTTACAGAGGGGTCTCTTGACCTCACAGTACTGGTCCTTGGAACAGTCTCCCAAATAGAAATGAGCTTTGGGCTGACTACTCCTGAGAAATTTTTTGAATGCATTGGTTAAAAGTGACTGAATGTGCATGAGTTTTGTTGGAAAGGCCTCTTCGTTTGCTGTTGTTAGTGCAATAGTGACATAATGGGATTTTTATTATTTTAGTTGAACAGTGTAATTTATCTTTCTTCCACTAGATGGCCCAAGCACGCTTCCAAATACCCCATGAGAACTGCAACTTAATTAATTTTTAAAATAAATTCGTGTGATTTTAACTGAAGTTAAAATTCTGCATCATGAAGCATATACAGACTTTGGTGATGCTTTGTGCTTGTTTAAAATACAAGCACTGTATATCAACGGAGAGAGCGTTGGTTAATGTAAGTAATACGTGGTAATGAAGGTTTATGTTTTTCCTTGATTAGAACATTTCTTATTGAGTGTAGTACAAGGCTGTTTATTTTTGCATTGAGATGAGAACTGGTGTACTGGCACTGACAGTGTGTTCAACGGTAATTGTTCAGAGAGGCTCTGAAACGGTGTTGATCTCGGGCTGCAGTTTGTCCCTGACATCTCCTGGGAGTGAGTTGCTGTATTTTGCAGGCCACCATAATTTTGGTTTTTTGGTGACTTGATTTTTGCTACATAGGGTTTTTGTAACAACTTTGCAGGTTGTTTCACTGGTGTACAGGTGTGGTCAGTGGGTTCTGAATAGGTGTGTTGTTAAATGTATGGACTGTAATTTAATGAATCTATTTTTGTTGTGTAATAGACATCAAGTATAAGCTTGTTATCATGACTGTCTTTTTGGTTAGTGGAGAAAGAAAGGTGTACACTGAAGGCAGCTCTTGCTGTGAGTGTGGTTGGACACTGGAATGAGGCTGAAGAAGTGGTGAGATGTTCATCCATAGAGAGACATTCAAAACGCAACAAAACCAAGCCTTGAGCCAGCTCAGGGTCCCCTCCAGCCTCAATTATTCTGCAATTCCAAAAGGAGATTTTATTAGTTGCTTTGCTCTACGGCTGTTTAAAACAAAATTAAATACATGGAAAAGGGATAGTTGCCTTTCTGAACTAGTTCATAACGTCAGTATTTTGCATTTAGTTCCAGCTTTCCTTTTGCTTCTGAGGACCTTGATGTGGTGGTATTAGACCAACAGAAAAAGTATGTGTGTCTGCATATGCTCTTTTCCTTCTTAAATTGCAATCCTCAATGGGGGGGGGAAAGAAACCATATAAAGGGAGTGCTATATTCCTTCATTTCACTGCTGCACTTGCCAAATGTCATCTCTGTCCTGTTATTAGTTTATATCGTTATTCCCAGTGTCTCTCTGTAACAGGGATGATAGATTGCCTCTTTTTCTTTTCCTCAGGATCTTTCCTAGATTTTCTCTTCTGCTCTTCAACAGCAGTTGTCCCTTCCTCTGCATCTGACTGTGATCCTATTTTTCATTCCTTTTCCCATTGTCAGTATTTGTCCTGTCCTGCAACCTTCCTATTTCTCTTCTCTTTTCTGACTGGAGACAAATCAACATGTCCATGTGTACTAAAAGGATGGACATAAATGGAGTATTTTGGTGAAAGGGATGGTGCTGCCTGCAGTCAGTTCTATAGACAAAGAGGTATAATCTGCTCTGATTCATGGCCCTACTGATACATGGTGAAGTTCTCCATTTGCAGTATTTTGGTCTTCCTTTCTAATTTTTTCCAAAGTCCATAGCTTTCAGTTTATTGAGCAAGGGACCACACAGAGTTTGCCAGTTGAGCCAGAGAAGTTTTTAAATACATTGTTTTTGTGATATATGTGTATGTTTAAGAGGATTTCTTTCCAGAGGTGATATATTCTACCTTTGTGTAGGAAATTGGCTGCGTGGCCTTCAACTGCTGTTATGAGTAAAACAGACTTTACTTTGCATGTGACTGGAAACTAAACTGATGAAAGCAATTCCCTTCTTAGCAACCTGGTAGTGGAAAACATAGCTATAGGACTAAAATGTTAATGATATATCTTGGTTAGCAGCATGTGTTAAGGTTTAGTTCAGATTTTTTTTACTGAACAAATTTAATAGCGAGTATGAAATAGAGTGGGTTTAAAAATGTGTATTTCTAGGAAATCTTTGATGTAACAGAAAGAGATAGGTGTCATTTGTCTACCTGTATTTTGGCATGCTCTGTATTATATGGAACTTGGCTGTAAGAGGATGTTATCTAATCACGATGGGAGGGTTTTTCAGCTGGTATCTGAGTCATGTCTCAAAACTTTGCTTGGTAACTACAGACAGTTGAAGCAGGTAGTGGTATTTGTTTTCAGTCAAACACTTCATACATCTGGTGTATGTATGTATGTATGTAGTACAATAATATGCTTGTTGTGTTGTTTTGCAACCGGGAATACAGAAATTATACTTTAGGGTGAACAAAAATAGTGATGGACGAGATGTCAGGAAGGTGTTGTGTTTCATATCTATCTCAATGCGTTTACATAGTGGTACCTCTTAAATGCGTGTGGGCATTTTGGGTGAGCGGATGCAGTGCCTCTGGGTATGTGACATGGCAGCCACGATGTTGTAGTACCCTTTGAAAGCTGGACAAAGCTGCAGAAGGTTGCAGAATCAGGTGAGAGCTTCTAAACCACCTTCTGCTATAAGAAATGTGCATCCAGTTCAGTTTAAAATTTAACTTCACAGCTGCTGTGGTTACAGCATTGTAATACTGAAATCTCCACCCCAGTATCAGTTCTGTTTGGCTGGCAAAAGTAATTCTAAAATCAAGCTGCTTATTGTGATCAACAAAGCTCGTTCCCATGGCTGGAATGCCAGCTCCAATTTTTTAACTTTTCAGAGTAGTTCAGAAATAATAATTGAAAAAAAGAGCAGCATATATGCACTTAAAATAGTATTAATATTTCTGTTTTGCCTTTATATTCCTGTATGTCCCTCACTAGATGTCACTAGTAGATTTGGGAAAGAAACTTTTAGAAGCTGCACGAGCAGGTCAAGATGACGAAGTTCGCATTTTGATGGCAAATGGAGCACCTTTTACCACAGACTGGGTAATGAAAACTTTTGCAGTGTTTGGTAGATCATCTTACTTTTCTCACGTGAAGAAGAAAATAGTATTGTTACTATTATGCATTTATATTGCAATTCTTCTTGGAATTCTGCAGTCACATCATCTAATGTCTAATTTGAAATTAAAATTGCCTGTTTCTTCATATAACCTCCTACTGATTTTAGTAACAGACTGTGAATGAGCTCATTCTGGTGACTTTTAAGATGAACTTTGGAGTTGTTAATGGGAGAAAGCAATAATCATCATCCTAGTTATTGTGTTTATGCATTTAGTATAGTAAGAGGTCTGAATTATGAAAGCAGTCCCAACTGCCTAATGTGTGCAGCTGAGAGTTCCCTGATACAGGGGCTCTGAGTTGTCTTTCAGAGGTGCATATTTTTGAATAGGTTATATAGAGAGGTCAGGTACCTAAAATTCCCAGGGTATTTATAAGCTCTTAAGAGCCTTAATCTGCTTAGTGACCTAACTTTCAAATTAACTCTGTTTTGAGGAGGAGATTGGACTTAAGTGACTTCCGAAGGTCCCTTCCAATGTTGATATGGTGTGACCAACCTTAAAAATGGGGTTAGGCCCCTTGAAATGTTACACTTCATAAAGACAGAAAAATCACAGAAAAAAGGAAACAACAACAAACTTTCCCTACTCCTCTTCATATTCTGTAAAAGCCCCAACTGCTCCTTTCCTTGAGACTGCAAGGGAGAATGATTTTTAAGTGCTGGCTTGACACCTGGGTTTGATAGCTCCAGAATAAGAAGAAATACTTCATACTGGCATCTGTTAAAACTCCACATTTTCTGTTACATTCCAGCTGGGAACATCTCCACTTCATTTAGCAGCACAGTATGGACACTACTCAACCACGGAGGTGTTGCTGCGAGCAGGTGTAAGTCGGGATGCCAGAACCAAAGTGGACAGAACTCCATTACATATGGCAGCATCAGAAGGCCATGCCAGCATAGTAGAAGTCTTACTTAAGGTGAGCACTGCTGAAACAAGTCTGAGATGGGAATATTGCAATGGTTTACAATCAGATATTTGCAATTTTCTTTTAGTCATGAAACTAAGATTGAAATTACATCGACAGTTGTACTGTGTGCATTGGGAGCTTTGTTTTCCTGTTAAACTGTAATTTATTTTAGCATTAAAGTCATCAGGATTTCAGGTGAATTATTCACTGCTATTTCAAAATAAGTCTACTCCCTAATTTGACATTGTGTTTAGTAAGAGATTTTAGAACTGAGATATGCTTTAGGAACTCTTTAATCCTTTGAAGTAAATACTTCATTTGGTAGTTAGATTGAAGTACTTTTAATGAACTTGTAAATGTAAGATATCAAGGCATTCCTGGTGGAGAAAGACAATTTTGGGCTCCATTCTGGTCAGATACTTCTAATGACATAGTTTATGCAATGATCTTGTTTGTAGCATGGTGCTGATGTCAATGCCAAGGACATGCTCAAAATGACTGCACTTCACTGGGCCGCTGAGCATCACCACCAAGAAGTTGTAGAACTCTTGATAAAGTATGGAGCAGATGTTCATGCTCAGAGTAAATTTTGCAAAACAGCATTAGATATTGCAGTAGACAACGGGAACGAAGACATTGCAGAAATATTACAGGTAACTTTTGATTCCTGTACTTGATTACACGTCATAAACTAAGCTTTTAATATAGCAGTTGTGACACTATATAATGACTGATAATGCCAAACTCCAGTCTAGTTGACTACATGGAGATGAGATTAATGTTAGTAAACATTGCTTGGCTGAAGAACATTTTCATCACCTACAAAATCAAGGATATGTATCCTTTATTTTCTTAAATTTCAGTGTTGTAATACACAGAACAAGGTGGACTCTTCACAACTGAGGTGTAAAAAATTAACTCCCTACTCTGACAGTATGTTTTGACTATACCCTGGTGTTCAGTTAGCTTCCTATATGGATATTAATCTCCTAACAATTGGAGATCAAGACAGGAGAGAAGAGATGACAATTTTTCCAGAAGCAGAAAAGCTAGGATTGAATTGTTGGAGAAGTGATTGTGATCAGGATTGTAATAGATACTTCTATGGAAATGTGTGCTCACTGTTCAATACTACTGTTAAAGGCAAAATAAGTGATAAGCATTATTGAGAAAATAATAGAAAGCAGATGAAAAATACCATTATGCCACTGTATAAATCTGTTGCTTCCCTGCATCTTGAATTGTCTGAACTTCTGATCTGTCCCTTCAGCCTGCTCTTCATTGCAGAAAGGGTAAAGAGAAGTTAATAATAATTCAAAGAAAAACAAAAAGGACGCTGCCATGTACATTTCATAGCAATTGCTGAGCTGTCAGAGCAGATTTTCATGGCCTGTGTCTGCCCCAGCAGTCTTGGTTCTTCAGGCTTCTGGTTTAGATATGTGAGCTTGTGTATCTGCAAAAGGGCCTTGTCTTTATGTGGTCCTCTTTATTTAGAGTAAATGGTAGGGAGAAGTAGTGGTGTGTTGTTACACTTTTTGTCTTTAGATTTCTGCCAAAAAACCCCCGTTTATGTACTTGGAGACGTGACATGATGTGTGTGTATTGCATGAGTATAATGAGAGAGATCCTCCCTGTTTGTGTGGAATGGCAGTAATTGTAGCTCTTACACAAGGTAAATGACTGCTTTTTTATACCTGCAGTTGGAATGATGTGATTGCCTTTGTGTCCTAGATTGCAATGCAGAACCAAATCAACACAAACCCAGAGAGTCCGGACACTGTGACGATACACGCAGCAACACCACAGTTCATCATTGGACCTGGAGGGGTGGTGAACCTAACAGGTCTGGTATCTTCTGCAAATACATCCAATGGAACAGGTATTCAGATGCCTCTAGGATAGCCACTAGGGTTTTATGCTTTGATTTTCACACTTAGTGAAAAGCTTTGAGGAAAAACAGTGGTAAGAATAGTTACCATGTTCCTCTTCAGTGTTTTTTATGTGTTGTAAATACATATGTGCCTAAAACAGCAATCTTCACAGAGCTAAATTATCAGAAGTTGTACTTGCCTAACAAACAGCTTCAGAATAGCACCTAGGTTCAGCAGAGTGCTGCTGAAAATTGAGTGTGTGTTAGAAGCTTCAGTGCAATAATAATAGAAAAAGAGACTTTAGTGGTTTTAAATTTATCAGCTAACTGTTTTTCATTCTACTAGATGAAACAGGAGTGTCTGCTGTACAGTTTGGAAATTCATCAACATCAGTATTAGCTACGTTGGCAGCTTTAGCAGAAGCATCAGCTCCCCTGTCTAATTCTTCGGAAACACCAGGTTAGAAAGCATTTAACCTAATTTAATAATTAAAAGTACATAAAATTCAACTTTCCTGTGGCACACAAAGTGGTGTGGTAAATAGTGCTTATATGGATATAGGTACAAGAAGAGAGCAAGGAATGAATAATGACCATATTTATGGGGCTGTTTTTCTTTTATATAGAGTAGCTTCACTTTAGACAAAATCTCCACTTTTCCTTCAAGGTTTGAAGAAGTCCTTGCAATGTTTCCTTCCAGAACTAAAACCCCAATATTGAATTTGAAACAGAAAAAGATCAGAGCTGTTTGCCACAGCACCTAGTATTGGCACTTGCAGCTGGGAATTTTCTGTGACAGTGGTCTTTCTTACTGCTGAGCCTGTGCTTGGAAGCCAAATCAAGTTCAGTACACCATCACTTATTCATGTGGGACTTGCTGTTTTGGTTTACTGAATAAACACTCTGTGAATGTTTAAGCAGTGCTATAGGACAGTGATCTCTGAACATAAAGATCTTCAGAAGACAGTGACTGCAGTCATTATTTAAACTACAGAGTGATTTTTCTGTGTATGTTATATTGTAATTAATTTAAAAGATGAAAGCTTCAGGGTTTTATCTGCCTTCTCTCATCTTGAACCTCACAACACAGGTCTATAGGGTTTTAATTTCATCTTGGTAGATAGAAAGCACTCTATTGTCTGTTATTTTAATCAAAGGCTTTGCTTTTACCCTGACAAATTGAAAATAAAATACAGAGTTAGTGTGCTTGAATTTCTTTGATTGTGTTACTAGTGATCTTGCTCTTTGTCTCAGTATCTTGTTGTTTTAAAAAATAAGAGTGGTAGCACAAGACCTGAGTTGCAGCATATAGTGCAAGCTGTGGCATATGAAGTTATATACATAAAATGTTTGTTTTACTTTTTAAGCTTAATCTTTCTTTTTCAAATCTGTAAAAATGTCAGCTTTAGTCTTGTTTCATACTTTATATAATAAAGTTGTGGGTGTGTTTGAAGTACTGATGCAGTACAGACAAAGCTCTGAGATTCTGTAGAGGTCCTTCAGTTTTTTACCATCTTAAAAACCGTTGTGTTAAGCAGAGAAATCTGGGCTGGGTCCTGATGTATGGGTGGCAAGGCATTGGTTGAGAAGTAGTTTCAAGGTAGTATTTCAGGTTTAATTTTTTTTTAATTCCTCTATTAGTGTAACTTAGTCCAGCTTATTTATTTATAAGTAAAAGTTATTTGTGTTCTTAAAAGTAGCTCTTCTTGCTGCCATGTTAATACGGAACCCAAAGCATCAATTTTGAGTGGGGTATATCTATTAGCAAAATGCAAAAAAAAAATTATTATATTGAGCAAGGTAGACTAGGACAGTGTTGCATGTATTTTTCATAATGTGAGTGCTTTATGTTGGTCTGGTGAAAGATTTCTATTAAAATTTAATACACAGTAATGTATTAATTGAGGGAGGGTCAAATTTAAAAAGTTCTGGAAGAAATTTTTTCTCAGTTGTACCAAAATGCATTTGAAATTACAAAGTTTAATTTATAAACTGACTTAATTTCTTCCCTAATCTGTTGATAGTTGTGGCCACAGAAGAAGTTGTGACTGCAGAATCTGTGGATGGGGCCATTCAGCAAGTTGTCAGTTCTGGAGGTCAGCAGGTTATTACTATAGTTACAGATGGCATTCAGCTGGGTAACCTGCATTCCATTCCAACCAGTGGAATAGGGCAACCCATCATTGTGACCATGCCAGATGGACAGCAAGGTGAGTTCAGACTTGTATGATTCCAGATTGAGGAACAGATTGATTCCAGTTTTAGTTACAGTAATAATAACGACTTGTTAGGTGCAAATAGCTTGGACAATTTTGTGTACATTGAAGAATTCTTATACTACAGAAGACTCAGACGTGAGCTACTGCAGTTCAGTGGGTTAACACATGTCAGCTGAGTCTCTGCATTAGAAGAGAGAATGGAAGAATTACTAAACTGTATGGAGGAGAAATGGGACATTTAAGGAAAAAGTGATAACTCCTTGCTTTGCCTTCAATAAGTTTGATTCTTGCAAACTTGTTACGAAAACTAGAAGGTGGAGTAAAATGAAGCCTTCTTCCAATACTTATGCTGTTGCCTTGCCGGAAATACAGTGGGGAGGTGAGGCTTGGATTTAGAAATCTGATGCATGAAGCAAGCTGTGCAAGTCCCATGGAGTGTGTTCTTAACAGGACAAATGTCAAGTTTTAGAGCAGCAGTGACAGAACCAGTGAAGCCAGGGTGACACAAATGTTCCTGTTGGGCCATATGTACTTTGTAGAAGCTGTTAGTGTGATAAGTGCTATTTTGAATGTGTATGTTTTGGGTGATTTCTTTTAAGGATGCTCTGTCACCACTACTTAGATAAAAATGTCTCCTCTGGTTTCTTCATAAGAACTGCCAATGTGAAGCTTGGAGAGTTGTACACTGGAGACTGTAGATCTCAGTAATGAGGAATTTTAAAATTCTTTAGTAGTGTACAAGCAGCTAAAATTTTAGTAAATTTTCACCATACTGACTTTATAATGCACTTTATTATATAACTGTGTTTTCAGAAGGAAATGTCTCTGCGTTTTGTTGCTGTTATAAAAATTACTTAAGTAATATGAGTTTTATATAGTGCAAATATTGTTTGAAATAAATATGTTTACACGTACAAATATGTCTTCAGTATTAACAGTCCCAGCAACAGACATTGCTGAAGAAACTGTGATAAGTGAAGAACCGCCAGTGAAGAGACAGTGCATTGAGATTGTTGAAAATCGTGTGGAGTCTGCAGAAATAGAAGTAAGGAGTATATTACATGATCTGTGTTAAACAGTGTTCAGCACTGAGTATCTGGTTGTGGTTCAGCTTAATTTCTGTGTTACCACAGAACGAAATGTGTGAAACAATAACTTGTTCAGTCTCTCCTGTTACTGAAAGTTGTCTTTTACAAAGTTGTAAAAAAAAAACAGGAGGGCTGTTTGCTTCATCCTGTGGTCATGCATGTAGAAGTGACACTTGTTTAAGTATGTGATAATGTAATTTTTTTTGTTTTTACTCTACGGTCACTGACTAGTTTTTAAATTTGGGCACCGATATATTATCGAGTGACTTGACTCTTTCCGCTGGGGATGAATGAGAGAACTGTATCCTCATCTTTCTGTTACAGCCACATGCTTGTCCTGATTGTGAGATCATATTTTTAGCAATGTTTCCTTTCCATTCATGATATCTAGATAACTGTTGATGGAAATGTGAAACAGTAAGATTCTGTGTTTGTCTATTTTTATCTGTATGTCATCCCCTGCCTTTTTTTTTAATTGCGAAGCAATTTACTGTTACACAACTTCGCACTATCCTTTTTTTTTTTAAACTATAGTGCAAAAGACCTACAACTGTGGAGAGTGCTTTTCTTTTTATATGACAAATAGCTGTAGCCGTTCAGTTTAAAAATGTAGCTTTTTTTATATTAGACACAATAGGTCAACCATCTCATTCCTTCTCCTGTTACTTCTAACTGTGCTGACCAGTTTTGGTCAAAACGTTATGAAAATTGCTGTCTGCTTTGACTAGACTGTAAGTTCTCATTTTGTCAGCTCCATGATATTTCGTTTATCTAACATTGTAGTCTCCAACTTCTGTTCATATTATCAAATTGTGCCTAATTGAATACTTTTTGTTGTACAGTGTGTACTATATGTTATCCATATCTAATAACAATAATTACCATCTCTCATCTCTTGCTTTCCCTGTCCCTAAGTTGTCTCATCAAATACTTTTGTCCTCTGCAGCTTTGTGGTCATTACAGATTATCCTGACAGTTGAAATTTTCTTGCTGCATTTTTTAAAGTGTATGACTGTTACAATAAAAGCATTTTTTTGCTCACACTTTTAAAAATCTGCCTGAATTATTCGTAAAGGAAATTATGTTTCCTTAAGTATTTTAATAATTCTGTTAGGCTAATTTAAAAAAATACAGATTAGTTAAGGAATAAATTGATCTGTTCCTGATTAGAGATAGTTGGTATAACACTACCAATAATTCTTTTAAGGGGATTACCAGTTGCAATTTTGTATGTTGAACACATTTCTCAAATATAAAAAGAAGTTGCTTTAAATGAGTTATTTTGCCTGTTACTTTTAAGTGCAGGTTTTGATGACTGATCTTTCCCTGCCTGTACAACTGGAATTGCAGATCTCTGCCTCTGTGTGGAGGACAGTTAACTTTAGGGACCTTATCGTGGTTCACAGGGGTATGGTGCTACCTTGCTTTGGTAGCAGTGACATTAAAGAAGTGCACGTGAAGTCATTTCACTTCAAATTTCTTTGTCACAGGCAGTGGTAGATACTTGAATTTGGAGAGAGTGGGCCCCCTCTCCTCATTAAATTATTTTTAAAATATTTTAAAATATAGAAATAAAGAAAACCTTAATTATTTGGTTTCTTTGCCTCACACTGATTCATTCCTTTATTTCATTATAAAGAGTTAATTCAAGGCTGAATCCTTTCTTCAGCTGTTTTAAATTCATAGTGTGTGAACAGTTAACTGTAGTTTCAAAGTTTCTGTAAGTTGAAAATCCTCCCATTCATGTGAAGTAACAAATTTTCCTGTGAAAGTATTGTGAAATGACTAAAGCGGTAGTGGTGTTTTTAAATTCTCTTTTCTGGCTCTGTTAAGTTCAAACATTTTGGCTCATTTTGAAGAGTGACAGTTTTCCTAAGCAGTTGGATATTTTAAACATGGGATGGCAGCAAAAAAACCCTGTCACACAGATACTCTGTTTTTCATTTCATGCATAATTCATTAATGTACAGTGATTTTTATTTTCATTCTTTAATTTGACTGTTTTTCACATGATGTATGTTTGAAAGGTGACACACACGCATTAGAACCAGGACAATAATTTCATTAGACTAAAAAATAATCATAAACTAATTCTCCTAGTGAATTCATGTCCCTGTTTTTTTCTGTTGTTCAAAAGAGTGGTTTGGTTATTTTAGTTATGGGCTTTCCTGTTGTCAATATTTAGACTGTTAAGAAAAGTTACATGTAATGAAGAAAATTCCCAGATAAAATGGAAGATTGCTTAAGGGCACTGAGGATCCTCTAATTTGATTTTTACCTGGCTAGGTGTTTATATGATACTAAAGGACTTCAGATCTTTAGAAAGCTTTCAGTTGTGTTCTAAAGAATGTCCCAAGAACACTGTCTGGGTTTGATTAAACTAACATCAGATACAGTCCTCCCTATTCTAGATGTCAAAGTTAAGGAACCACTTTTCACTGAGTTCACTGTAGATAATTGCTCCCCTGCAAGCATTGAGTTCTTTCCACTGCCATCACACAATATACTTGGCCTCAGTTCCTTAACTCATTCTGTTTGTGTTGGGACAGTCTAAAAGGTACTTGTGTTAGCTGCTGGACTAATCTACGTGCTTTGAATTGCTAGTCTGCCTAGCAGATACTGGTTTTATCTTGGCCTTGCCCTTTGAGACTGGGGTTTTTCCTTTTTTTCTTATCCCGTCCTTAATATGCTATACTGCTTGTGGGTACACAGCTCTAGTTCTCTCTTCTGTGGGAAATACTCTTAAGATGTGGTCTGAGAACCTCTCCACCCCCAAATGTTTGCAGGGTGCACACACTCCATAGCAGTGATGGCCTCTTGCTGTTTGTAATGCACCGCAGAACTACTGGCTGCTGAGCTACCAATGGTTCTTATTCTACTGCAGCCCACTAGATAGAGCAGCTTTGCTTCGTGGCAGTATTAGGTTTCTGATGGTTTTTATAAGACAAATTCATGGGATAGATAATGCCCAGCTCAGTATATCCCAGCCCTCCAAAGGCTGCTTTCCACATGTAGCAGGATCAGCTATTTTGACTGCTTCTTTGACAATTGTCTTGTAGCTTTTTGCACCAACACTCTGTTCCACGTGGCTGTTTTATGTAAGCTGTTGGCTCCCCTCATACTACAGAGATAATTTACAGCAGTAGCAGTGTATTTTGCTTGGACTGGTGCTGGAACATCGTTGGTGTGTTTCAGATCCTCTGAGGTGTAGGCTCTGCTGTTCATGTGGCATCTGTCAGTCTGGTTGCTACATGGATTGACTGCTCATAGAGTTGCTTAAAAAGCAAAATGCAAATTTTCAGAGGTGGAAGCTGAACTTCCTTTTCAAATAAAGTAAGCAAGATCAGATGAGCTCTCATTTGATTAGCGTATGCTTCAAACAAAGCAAACCCCAGCTTGCTGCCTTCAGCTCTTAAAGCCCTATGGAAAAAGAAGTTGCACTTACTGTTCTGTATTCTAGCCAGCCTTTATAACCTATTAATAACATCTCTCCTTCACCTGTTGTTTTTGCTGTACAGGTGCTGCTGTTAGGAATGATCTGATCACCTGTGTCATTGTATTTCAGCACATTCAGCACAGCATGTGACTGCTAAATGTGACTGTGACAAGTACTGAGAACAGTAGTGAGTTGAAGGGAGGCAGAGTATTTTGTATTTTTCTGACCATGAAAATATGTGAGTGCATCAGAGATGAAGAATAGGGAGTGGGGGAGGCAAAACTTCTAACAACTGTTTGAGGTATTAAATGGGAATGTGGTACTGAACTGCTGGGATGGGAATAAGCTGAAAAGGCAACTTATTTTCACTGGGCCTCAGTTTTTTGATAAGTTTTGTTTTTCTGGGAGATGGCTTGCTTTTCTGACAGCCTTCCTTCCTGCTCCTGTTTAACGACTACAGTGGAAAGAATGATTTTAAATCTAATACTACCTTACTCATAAAGTATGATGCACTTTAATGAAATTGTATTTGGTTGAAGATCAAAACAAAACTATTTCCCAAGCAAATTGCTTTTTCAATTGGGCTCAGTGCAGCATCAGACAAAATGACAGTACATACATCACTGGAGATGGAAATGCATTCTCCTTAGTTCCTAAGGCAGCTTCAGAGGAAGTGGCATTTCCCATATGATTTTGCTTGGAAACCATTTTATACCCATTCCCAACAAACTTGTATACAGAACTTCTGCAATTACTTCAGTAAGGATTTTTTCAGTTGCTGCTTTTGAATTGAAAAACCTTATCTGGCTAAATGCCTGTTAATTCATAAAGATGTGATATCCTTGGGGATGTAATCATAACTCTGAATTGCATTGAATCAATCACTGTTTATAGAGACCAGTGAGATGTGTAGTTTGGTCAGTGGGCAGCTGACACTCTCCAGCACAAAGAGCTGTTAGGTAGCAGTTTTTCATTATATTATCTGATTAGAAATAAAACAGCAAGGGACAATCCTGTTAGATTGGATTCCAATTTTTAAAAGTAACAAAGGGAATTGAATCATTGGAGAAATATTAATATATTATGTGAATATTTAATCACCATGCTTCCACTTTTTTTATTTAGCTCTTTTTTGATGAAGACTTGAGTGGGACCTTTGCAGCTCAGTACTCAGGTTTACTGTATCCACAGCTGAAGCCTTGTTGTGGGAAGTTGTCTGGTGTTATAATTCATGTCTGATTTGCACAGCAGCATTCATACAGGTCTGCCTGAGTAAGAACTGAACAGTTCCTACATGATACCCTAACACTTGAGCTGCATGTAAAGGAAAAGTATTTGCCTTTTTAACTTGTATGTGATACTTATTTGACAAAGTATTGCTGGTTCTGTTTCTAATAGGAAAGAGAAACTCTTCAGAAACAGCTGGATGAGGCAAACAGAGAAGCACAAAAATACCGTCAGCAGCTTCTAAAGAAGGAACAAGAAGCAGAGGCCTATCGGCAGAAGTTAGAGGCAATGAACCGCCTCCAGACTAATAAAGAAGCTGTTTAATAAAAAATGAACACACTGCAAAGCCTGTTACTTTCAAAAACCTGCAGTACAATCTTGAACTGTACATGATATAGGTACAGACATGGGATTTCATGATAGAGAAGATGCTACAAGTTGATAACTGGACTTAAGCCGTGAGCTCTGATTAATTTCTTGTAACATAAAAACTCTGAATTTAGAAATTGTGAAAAGTATTTAAAATTAAATACTGTAAATAGTTGGTTTTTTTACAGTTTCAAAATAAGTTGATAAATCTTTTTGAAGGGATCCAGAAACATGAAAAGCCAATGTTTTTGTGAAATTTTTGATTTTAGTATGAATCTACTTCTGAAAAACAGAACAGTTTTAAGGGTGATGTTGATTTAAGCTTGAAAATTGATTATGTGACAAAATTAATTAACAGTTATTTCTACATGATAACAACTCAAACAACTTCTCTGAATAAGACATTTCCAGGTGGAAATCTTTGTACAGCTTTAAGTAGTTGTCTCAGATTCTCTGAAAACCATTTTTGGGTTTTTTTTATTTTAGGTGGTGAAATTTTTATATTTAATTTCAGATATATCCAAGTAGATTTACATGTATATGAAGCTAATATTTTTTAAACTTTTCAGTTTGTACATATGCTGCATGTTTTTATAATTTCTACACATACATCTTGCATAGGTATTTTTCAGCAAAGATGAGAAAAATTATGAGAAAAATGTTTAGCCTATAGGTCATTTGAAGTAAGCTAGCAGCCAGTTTTATCGTGGATGGTATATTTCTTGGAAGAATGTAATTTGTAATTAAGAAGAACAAAAAAGAATCTTAATTTACATATTAAGAGGCAAAATTTGGTAGTGGAGGCATTGAAACTTCACTTTGTGTGTCTTACAATTTTCCTGTACAAACATTTTAAAGTTCAGTAATGAATAGAAAAGAATGTCTCCACTGGAACACAAATAGTAGTTATTTTAGAATATTCCTATTGATCTCTCTTCCCCAATAGCCTTGAAATTACTTCAGTGATACATTTTTTTCTGAACAGACTTTTGCATTTTAATTATGCAATTGGACAAGTAATTTTTTTATGTTGTAGTGATGCTTTTCCTACCCAGCATCATTGTTCCTCACTGTGATACTGTGTTTGTGTGTGTCTGTGCAGTGATCTATTATGCTTAAAATTTATATGGCACGTTACATCTTCAGCGCATTGTAAAATCTTTTAAAGAACCCTTTCCTATACTACTTGAGGCAGGTAAGTGTTATTGTCTCAATTTTATAACTGGTATAAATGCAACACAAGGGAGTGGTAAATGACTGGCTTAACACCACATGAACCTGTGGTCACCTGGGAATGGATCTCAGGAGTTCCTGGCTTCTAGTTCTGTGCTTAGACTGAGCTGCCTTAAGACTGTTCAGTGCTGTGTTACATTAAATTTTGAACTACTGTGCAGGTTCGTTTTTTGTAAGATAAAATTCTTTGTGCTTTGCTTTGTTGTTCCATGTTCACTGCTTTTATGGAATTGTTTATATAAACTTAAGCAAAAAGTCTGGTTTATCTATACTGTACACGGAAGAATTACCCTTAAAACTGTACTCTGGCCTACTTTTTCTATTTTACAATTAAATATCTTTTCCACATATATATAGTGTAGAATCAATTCCATTTCAGTTGTTTTGTGTATGCATTAGAAGGTCAAAACTTTTGTGTTGGGCACTTGGAAAAACATGAAGAAACAGTTTTAGGCTTAGAATGGCCTTAAGTGTTGGGAGGGAGAAGTGGGCAGAGAATTGCATTGTACCGTACAAAACTTTGTCAAACAGATCAAGATTTGACTTGAGTATATAGAATTGGCAGTAGGAAAAAATGCTAAATATCCTAGTATCGTTACATAGTTGGTAAATTTGATCCTGGTTGGCAGATTTGACCTAAAAATAATCAAAAGATAATAAAAATGAAAAACCTGGTGGTGAGTTTTAGAAGAACTATTTTCAAGGATATAATTATGGTGGTACTAGGACTTGAAGAAAGCCTTGTGCAGTGATTACCTGGAAATTGCTCTGTTTTAGGGATGTTTTCCGGAACTGTCCATAACGTCACTAGCAAAGGCAGAAACCAGTTAGTCGAGATAAATGTGCTGCTTAGGCATTGTTCCAATTGAATTATTCCGTGATCAAAGTAATGTTTGTGTCCTCACATCCCACAAAATTGATGACAGTGTAATCTCTGTGAGTTCTTAATAATGATAAGAGTCTCAGTCTGAGTGGTGAGTGTGGTAACGTTCACATCCAAATGGAGAGTTTCCCACGGTTGAGACAGCACAGGCCTTTGTAGCCAATAATGAAATGAACCTTTTCTAATCATTCTGTTTCCTGTGAGCAAATATTCTGTTCCTCATTGTCCATAATGAAATCCTAGTAAGTGCAAGGTAGCTATAACAAAACCTTATTTATCACCAGCAATATTTACCCTACCTGTTATTCATTATCACCTATTTTCTAGTTCTGAACAGGACCTGCTGTTCGTTCTCTTCTGCACAGAACAAGAGACCAAGCTGATGAAACTCACCTTTGAGCAAGGCGTAGGGTATATGTCACATGAAATATTTATTGTATAATTTAGCTCTGAAAACATTGTTAAAAATATTGTTCCTTATTTGCTGTTCCAAAGTAAAAACAAAATGTAGTTAGCTACCATCTGTTTCTTTGAACAGATGTCCATATATTTTAAGTATTAGTTACTTGTAATGAGCTAGAATCACAGTTCTGGGGAACTTTGGGTTCTTCTTGAGTTGGTCCTGTGCTTGATGCACCTTCTCACCTTCCCTGTTTCCCTTTATGAGATCATTTACAGTAAAGCCAAGAGACGTTAATAAATTGATATGAAGTGTGTGGGCAGCTTGTTACTTATCTCCTGATGTTTCCAGAGAAATGTGAGAAAACAGATTAATATGCATATAGTATTTTTTTTCACTTATTTAATGCCTTTTTATCAATTTGGATTTTTTTATTTCAGTACATTAATCTGATGTGTGTGTATCAGAGCATCTTTGTCATATCTAGAAAACAGTTCCTTCTCAAATATCTAATTGCAACAGGAACTAGGAAGGGTTTCACACTGTTCTGTAGACATTTTGCTGTGAGAACAATGTAACAGCTTTCTAGAAAGTGTTTGGGCTGTGTTTGGGTACACGAGGCAGCGAATTCAAGCTGCTCTGGCAGCCAGTTCTCTTCTGTGTGACGAGAACAGAAAAACTGCTGTCGTGTATCAGATGAAGGCTCTGCCTGATCTGGTGTCCTGTCTCCAGCAGGGTCTGCCCTAAGCAGGAGCCTAAGGTATAGCAAAAATAGGGCAAGAATATATTGTACTGGTAGTAGTTTCTCTTCCTGGTGCTTAGTCCACAAATCCTACCTCTCTTTGCCAAGGGCTGCTTGGTACAGTGTAGAGCAAGTGAAGATGGTAAGTGCTCAACAGTGAGTACAGTGTCAAAGGTTGTGCTGGCAGAAATAGGTCAGGATGTGTTTTCAGGCCCTAAAACTGGAACAAGGGGGAATCTACATAGCTGTCCTTTCAAACGGAACAATCCAGGTGGAGGACTTGGAGAAATTCTGGAGAGACAAGACCAAATCCCAGTTCTTATGTGTATCATATGTGAGGAAAGCAAGCATAATGAGGGGAAAAATATGCATTTTCCCAGCTCAGCAATCTAGGGTGATATCCATGGAGGAACATCACCCTGGTTTGTGTAACCTGCTCTGATCTGGAAAGGCAGGAAATCCACTGAGAAGATCATTGCTGCTTTGTATTGCAGTTCTGGAATGACAATAACTGTAAAACCTTTCCTTTTAGCAGCATGGGACTGACAGCATAAAGACTGAAGATTTGTGGGGATGTAGGTATATTCTTATTGCTTTGGGAATTATCAAAACAATTCTTAAAAAAACCTCCTTCCCTGTCTGCAGTGTCAAATTTGTTCTGTGCTGGTGCCTTGTTTTAATGACTAGCACAGTAGTTGGGTGTGCTGGTGTTAACATCTGCTGGCTTTTATTTGGGTTTGGAAGTTCTTGAGCTTTTTCTTTCCCACAAGTCTCATGTTAATGTGGCTTATATTCATGACATGGATTACTCTGAGACTTCTGAAAGATTGACTGAAAATGGGAAAGGGTTAGTGCAGAGGCAGCTCCTCTTAGCAATACACTATCTTACACATCAAAAGGGCACAGATGAGAACATGAGAGATTGTAAAAGCCCTCACTTGGGAGGAGTTAGATAAACACTCACCAATAACCTGCCTACGTTAAACCTTTTCCAGAATGCGTGAGTCTGAGAGATAAAGGGAGCTATAAAGGGGGAAGCAACCAGGAGGGCACCAGAGGGAACTGCCCACAGCTCCCAAGGGGTCGTGGCCCAGGTTTGGAGGTGCTTCTGTAAGGAATCAGTATGGAGCCAGAGGAGTACAGACAGAGAGGTGAGTGATCCTTGGCTCTTGCAAATAGGTATCACTTGCTCATGGAGATCAACTATGGTAGGGCTGGGAGTGGTCCCCAAAATTAGGATGGGCTATATACTCTTTATTTGCACACATGTCCTTGAGACTTGGATGTGCTGAGGCTGAGACAAAAATGTGTCCCAGGATTGAGTGTAAATTAATGGATTTAGAGTCCATGGGTAACTTAGCCTTTTTGGTCTTACTTTTAAGATAGTGTGGGAAAGCTGCAAAACTGTAATTCTGAATAAACTATTGGTAAGGGTTTATGCACAGTGGCTTTTCCCCAGCTGACACTGTGATACTGGTACAGTTCTGGAGATGGGGAACAAACTTTAGTTCCGGGGTAGAGGAGATTGCCTTAAAAAGTAGAGAACAGGTGTGGAGCTATGCAGCTCTTTTCAGAGGATGCAAAAGGGAGTATGCTATAGTGACAAGGAAGTGTAGGGCATTATGAAAATTTAATTCCTATGAAATGCGCTTTCAGTTAATTTTTAGGCAAGAAAGTCTAACCTCTCCATAATCAAACAAACTGTACTTGTACCCTGACTGTGTTTTTAAGGTACATTTGAACTATTCAATGATGACACTGAAATAACTCTGTGAGTCTGTTCTGTCCCCATGAAGCCTGTTCTGGAAGCTGTGTCCCTATGTTATTATATGGGACCAGTAGGGTATAGGAGGGAGGTCAGTTCCACTGGCTGTGCTGGGAGCAGTATTCCAATGCTAATGACAGATTGTGTGGAGTGCTGGTACTGCTAGGTAGTTTTCATATAATTGAAACTCAAAACACTGGTTTGCCTCTTCCAGGGAAAGAGATGGTGGATTACATTTGCCAGTACCTGAGCAATGTGAGAGAGAGACGGGTGACTCCTGATGTGCAGCCGGGTTACATGAGAGCCCAGTTGCCGGATTCTGCCCCAATGGATCCTGACAGCTGGGACAACATCTTTGGAGATATAGAGAAGATTATTATGCCAGGGGTAAGCAATAAAGTGTAATCATGACAGGAAAAAGCCCTTATTGCCTGGGGTGAACACCAAATCCTGGGAATGCACAGGTTCTGCAGAACATTTATCTAAGTAAAGTACCCAAAAACGTAGAATAAGTCTTGTAGACATGTCCACAGAAGGATTCCAGGGATTACTGTTGTGTTCCTACCTATAGTTTTAGGGGCTAGACTGAATGTATTTTTGACATATGTTATACATTAAGTCATATTTGCTTATAGGGAAACAAATTCACCAGTGTCAGAAAATCATTAGCTTCACAATGTCTCTACCTGCTGACCTGTATAATATCTATTTCAGAGATGTGGAAACTTGGGCACAGCAGTTGTGTACATGTAAGACCTGTCTCCTGTTCTTTGAATGTAAAGGTCTTGTTTCTCTTATACATAAGTACTGCAGATTCTGCTAAGGGAGTTGATATTATCAAATTACATGTTTTATGTAAGAAGTCCTTTCAGAGTCTATTCTCAAATTTTTTTATAGATGTTTGCAGAAACTCGGTCTGATGTAGGAGAGGTATTCACATTACACATGCTTATGCTGATGTCCCACATAGAAACTCCTTCAGGTGTATAGAGGGGGTTATATAGTTGTAGATTGCTATGTGTAGCTACTTACTTTGTTTGACAAAATGAGCAACTTTGTTGCATGAATTCCCTTTATAAAGATAAACATTTTGATAAGTCTTTCTGACTCTGGTCTTTTGAACATGGCACAACATTCTTTCCTGTTCAGAATCTTTGTCTGTCTGTTTAATTCAGATAAATGCTTTTGCTGTTGTTTGGAATTTATCTAACAACGCCAGAGTGTTAGTGCTGCACTCCTATTGATACTATCTCTGCAGCTTTCTGCTAGCAGATTTATAGTTGCACATATTATGTTGCTGTGATCCTTTTCCATCACTTTAAAGATCTAATGATAATTGTTACATCTCATGCAGAAATTTGTGACATTTCCAGATTTAACTTCTATATAATTCTGTTCTAGGTAGTCCATTGGCAAAGTCCACACATGCATGCCTACTTTCCAGCTCTTACTTCCTGGCCTTCACTCCTTGGAGATATGTTGGCTGATGCAATTAACTGCTTGGGATTCACATGGGTAATTTTTTTTTTTTTGCTATTTTAGATATTCATTTCCTGTGTGTAATATGCAAGAGCAGGTCATAGTCGTTCTTTCTTGTTCTCTGAGTCAGTCTAATTATTTGCTTTAACCAACTGTATGTTGTTTGCATAAGTGAAAAATTCACTTAAAAAAAAAAACAACTCAAAAGGTTACGTATTAGTAAGAGGTGAATGAAGAAAATATACCACTAGAAATGTCTGTTTTCTAATTTTTTGCATATCCCACTGTGAGCATTGTTCCCTATCATCCAATCTCAGTGCCAAGATTGTTACACAAGCACTGCAGGCAATAAAGCAACCACCATCCATTACTGCAGGCTAGATTGGGCTCCAGTCCAGTTCTCCTGCTCCTTTGAGAGAACACATTTCCTATTTTTCCTCTTCTGAAAATAATTGTTGGTGGCCTGGCCCAAAATACCTGAGTATTTTGTGTCCTCCTGCAGCAGCTACACAGCGCTACTTTGTTATAACTCTGCTTACCTCAGTAGCCTTCTGAAGCCAATTTTCTCCCCAGTGGTGAAGTTGCTGAGATTTTTAGGTGTGTGTCTCTGTGTAACAAAGCAGTAAAAGCTCATAAACCTCTAAGAAACTGATGGGTATTGTCTCCATGTAGTTGTATCAGATCAGCTCATTGCCTCCCTTAGCTCTCAGCTGGCAGAGGGATCAGCACCCAGGGTGAATTACAGTCTGATTCTCTTTTTTTAAAATTTTTCTAGGCCTCCAGCCCAGCCTGTACAGAACTGGAAATGAATGTGATGGATTGGTTGGCCAAAATGCTGGGACTTCCAGAAAAATTCCTGCACTACCATCCTGACAGTGTGGGTGGAGGAGTATTACAGGTAGGGGACATTAGAGGAGGTCTCATCAATGTTTTGTTTTCACTGAGGTGAATTTCCCTCTGGGTGATAGTTTTCTTAGAGGCAAAACCAACAAGATTCTCTGTATGGGTCTAAATAGAGACAAATCCCAATTTGGCATTATTTTCCCAAATTTGAGTATAACATAGAAGATTACAGAATAAGAATTGCTATTGCTTTTAGTGCTAACTGTGTTAGAGATGAGCAGCAGCTACTCTTGTGGCCTTTCTAAGGATAAATGAGAGTCAAATTTCATTTCTTCAGTCTGTTTCACATCACCAAATTATATACTGAAGTGATTCTTACGTAATTAGAGAAGGAATCCTTGTCACTGTCCTTCTACCACAGTCCTTAGCCACACAAAAAAAATATTTTTCCTTTTTATCATGTCTACTTTGTGTCTCTGAGAGGTGCAAGATCAAGGCCTGAACCTTACCTCCTTTTGAAAGGCTTAAGCAAGTATCCCGTGGAATCAGTGTTGAGGTTCTGTGTTGTTATAGGGGGTTTTGCTTACATTTTATCTGTAGAACAAAAGGAAAATATGATTTATTTACTCCCCCAACTCAGTCCTGCACATAAAAAATATACAGCAGTTAAAAGGCTTCATTTTGTGTTGCTGGCCCAGAGAGCTGCTCATCAGCTAATGACTTTCCACTGCATCACAGAAAAGCAGTAGTAGGAATAAAAGAGGGGGTGGGCAGCTGAGTACTGACTTCAGTGAATCCCTGGCAAGATAGCAATGAAGTAGCAGTTGCAGTAAATGAGCAATGTCTTTGCAGAGCACTGTGAGTGAATCCACCTTGGTTGCACTGCTAGCAGCAAGGAAGAACAAAATTCTGGAGATGAAGGTTTCCGAGCCAAACACCGATGAGTCCTCGCTCAATTCTCGCCTCATCGCTTATGCATCTGATCAAGTAGGTTCTTATGATTACAAAGAAAACAAATGTGCTCCTGCTGTCTCACTCAGACTATGCAATGTGAACTCTCATTTCTCTACCAAAAGGCAAACACAGGAATGCCTCACAAGCATGAACCAGTTCCTCTAATACTGCTTTCTGCAGATGAGGAAACGAAATCAGTGTGAGGCGAGGTTTTGTAGGGTCCTGGCAGTCCTCAGGAGGCTGTTCCACATGACTCATTTCTAAACTTCCTTCCTGTTTTTCACAAAGCCTTACCCCAGTAACTAGGTGCTGATCTCCTGCTGCTCCAGCTCTTGTTTGTTCGCAGCCTCCTTCCACTCAGAACAGGCACGGTCAAGGTGCTGTTACCTCAGTGCTGCTCCTGGCTGTGGGCTCCACTCTGGGCCTCTGCCAGCAAACCTGTTCTGTCCCTGGGCTCCTGAACTAAACAATTGTATTTGCATGTGAAAACTGCAACAGGAGAGACTAAAAGGACTTTTTCTTATGAGATGTTTGGGGGATTTATCTTCTTATGGCAGGGAGGAGGGAATAAACTGGGGATGATCTATTTCTAGAGGCTCCTTTAAGCACTGAGTTTTGATAAATGGCCCTTCAAACACAAGATGAGGATGCCTATCACTATATTTGTTTTAGAGACAAGTACCCAAATAAATGAAGCATTCCTTGGAATTACAGTGTACTATTTCTGATAGAGACTTACAAAGAAGTTACTTTCAGACTTGTATAATATGGATTACAATAAGGACATTACCTCTGCATTTCTTGCCACCACTGTCTTTTCATAAGGCCATAACTCACCACAGCTGTTCAGCCTCAGAACTTGAGTTCTTACTGTTTTTCTTATTTTAAAGGCACATTCTTCTGTAGAAAAGGCTGGCTTGATTTCCCTTGTGAAGATAAAATTTCTGCCTGTGGATGAGAACTTTTCCCTCAGAGGTGAAACTTTGAAGAAAGCCATTGCAGAAGACAGAAAGAAAGGCCTCGTGCCAGTCTTTGTATGTTCAACTTTCTGGCTGAGGGTATTGGCATAGTGTTGTATTTTTAATGTCAAGATAAAATTACATCTGAAACATTTCTTATTGTGTTAAAATACATCTACTGAATGTTAAAATGTATAGAAGAGTGTCTGTTTTATTGAATGTAAATTTTGAATGTTTTGACTGTCTACCTAACCTGCCCACTTTTAAAGTGCTGCATCCATTTATTAGAAAACCCCAATCCATCTTAACAGATTTTGTTTCTTCTAGGTTTGTGCAACATTGGGTACAACTGGTGTCTGTGCTTTTGACAGTCTCTCAGAACTGGGTCCAATTTGTAAGTGTCTTTTTTTTTTCCTGATTTTAAACTATGAAAGCATATAAAAGATAGGGAGACTTTTGCATGCCAAAAACAAGAAGAGTAGAAACACTGATCAGCTGAGTTTTTCAGACATATCTCAGGGATCGCTGAAGTCAGTACAGGACTTTGCAGTGATTTCTGTAAGTTTTAGATTAGGATGCTAAAACACATTCTATTCAAGATGGATGAAATTTGCCAACTGATAAATCTTTAATGTGGTTATTCAGGAAATACAGACTGTGCAATACTGTTATGGGATGGATACATAAACATTTAACCTAACAAAGGAGTTTTGAAAGTAGATTCTAGTAGGACATCCTTTGGATCCACCAGTTTCGTAGGTAAATTTGTCATGATTGCAGATTCTATTCCAGCATCAATTCTGCCCAATAGCTTTGGAAGACCTGAGGTGCTTTCTCATATGGGTCAGATTGTGGCTTCTATTTCTGGGTCCTTTTTGCTTACCCCGCTGTCTTTGTTCTGGCTTTGTGCAACTGAGTGGTACTGGGGAATTTCATGTAGTAAAAGGGCAGGGGAGAGAAGTCAATCATTAAGAAGTCCCACTCACATCAAATATGAAATAGTGAATTTTGTTGTAGTGTCCACCCGATTTCAGCATTATCCTATATTTTGGGGTTATGGATCCACAGCTTTAGAATAAAACTAGATTGTCAATTGTTTGTCTGCCTCCTCCAAAAAAATGCACCTGTTTTTTTCAGAGAGGAGAGATTAAGCATGCACTTTGATTCCTTATGTCCCTTACATAACAACAATCTCAATTCCATCAGGTGATGCTGAGGGACTCTGGCTTCATATTGATGCTGCATATGCAGGAACAGCATTTGTATGTCCTGAATTTAGGCTGTTCTTGGATGGAATTGAATATGCAGATTCCTTTACTTTTAACCCTTCTAAATGGATGATGGTTCATTTTGACTGCACTGGATTTTGGTGAGTAAAGGCAAAATGCAAGCAACACCACAAGAATAACATGCAAATTGCAAAGTATTTCTCTGCACTTATTTTGCTAAACCCAGTTCCTTCTACAATTGATAGGGTTAAGGATAAATACAAATTACATCAAACCTTCAGTGTTAACCCTGTCTACCTCAGACATGCCAACTCAGGAGCTGCAATTGACTTCATGGTAAGTTATTATTTAAGTTGATATTTTATATTGCATATAAAATGTTCAAACAGACTGTGAAATTCCTCACACTCTGGAGATGCTTATCTTATAGATGATCTGATTACATAAATCCAATTATACTTAGATCCTAATACAAAGTAAATAATAAAACTTTAAAGTGATCTGTGGTTATGAAGATTGATTATAAAATTGCTTTCAGATTGAAGTACTTAAGATTTTTACACAGATAGAGATCCAACCTTGCCTTTTTAATGAGAAGGGTCATTTCTGTGCATTGTGTTGCTGCAGTAATTCCTACTGATGCCATTTTGGCTGAATTTCTTGTATCTCTGACATGTAATAAAAGAGAGAAAGGAGTAAGCAATGGAAACACGATGCTCTGAAACAGCAGGAGACTGAATTACATTTTGCTTCAGATTAAGGTATTCATAGGAGAGCCAAGAGGCATTTCACTTTAGATACCTCTTACAGCAGATTTCAGTACAGTAATACAAAGGAATATTCACTGCCAATTATTTCTGCTATGATCTCACCCTAGTCCTGAAAAGATAATTGTTTTCTTGAAATCAATAGTGCTTTTCACTAGAGTGCAAGTGGAGGGGAGGGATGGAAAAAAAAGACATTGAGTCCCTCTTGTGGTTAAATCGGATCCTGCATGTGATTGTGTAGCTCCCTAGAAATACTCCTTTATATGTTTTCTCTTTTGCTTGCAGTAGGTGCTACTTTGTCTGGAACTGCCTACCCCTGTATCAACTCTTGTTCAGGATGGCAGTTAAATATGCAAATTACAGGAACTGAAGTGAGCACTCAGTCCTGAAGTGTAAATGGCCACATCTTAAATTGATCATGCTCTTAAAATGCAAAAAGTTGTTGTTATTGGCTGATAATTAACTTAAAATTCTAATCATGTCTAGACCATAGACTAAGGGGAATAGCCAAAATCTTATTTTTGCAAATAATTGAAAAATATGGAGACACAGTGTTTCTTTGATGGCTGTTTCCTAGGCTTAGCAGATATTCAGTAATATGACACTACTTGTCTCAAAAGAGATTTCTGGCCTGAACCTGAAGCAATAGGTGTAGCAGTGTAAGGGGAACCCTCCTTTCTGTTGTTTCTGCACTCATCGAGGCACTGTTGTGTTTTCACAGCACTGGCAGATTCCACTGAGTCGCCGATTCCGGTCTTTGAAGCTGTGGTTTGTGCTTCGCTCGTTTGGGGTGAAAAAGCTTCAAGCTCACGTCCGACATGTATGTGAATTAACAGTGCAACCATACATGTGTTATGTTCATTTCTTGGTAGCTGAGATTAATAAGTTCAGAGGTTCAAAGATGAGTAACAGAAATCCTCTGACATGCAAAGCTTGCATGTGAACACTAAACGTGTGCTCTTAAGTAATCTGTAAAGATTAACTGCGTAGACAAAACGTTTCCTGTCCCCTTCTTGGAAGCAATAGGCAATGGCAGGCGAGTTGGTAAGTCACAGCCTTCTGCCTGTTACTGAGTACTAATCTGGAGGAGCTTTCTTTGAGGCAGCTGTTTGAGAGGCAGGCTGTGATGAAAGGCTGAACCCACCACTGTGAAAATGTACAGGCTTAAGTCTCTGATGGAGAGTAAGTACAAGGATCGTATTGTGGATCAATGGTTGCCGCAAAAGGACTCCAGTCTGAGAAGGCACATTGTTTTCAAATGTTCTTCTAGAAAATCCCTATGTATAGTCCAATTACTCATGTTCATTGTCAAGGGTTTGGGCAAATAGACAGACTTTAAAATTCTTTACTTTGTTGTCATTCTTCTGTTTTCTGCTATCCATGCATTGAAATGATGTGTTTTAGTAAGGAAAGAAAGTCTTTTTAACTATCTAATTTAGTGTTTTACAGTGGGTTTGTGACAAACCAATATATAACTAGGGTTATAGGTTAATCAAGTTTTTCTTAATTATAGGGTACTGAAACAGCCAAATTCTTTGAGTCCTTGGTTAAAAGTGATCCACTTTTTGAAATTCCTGCGAAGAGGCATCTTGGACTGGTTGTATTTCGGCTAAAGGTAATGATTAGACCTTTTGTATGTCTCTTTGGAATGAATTGATCACAGCTGATCTCTCCCCAGATGTTAAGAACTGTGAATAAACTTTCATGTAAGAATTTGTGATCGCAATTCTTAGAGATGTTTGGATGTCATTGGAAATTCTAACTGTAGTATTTCTTTTAAAACAGGGTCCCAACTGGCTGACAGAAAAACTCCTGAAAGAACTAAGCATTTCTGGCAGGCTCTTCCTCATTCCAGCGACCATTCATGACAAGTTCATCATTCGCTTTACTGTAACGTCTCAGTTCACAACCAGGGAAGACATTCTGCGAGACTGGAACATCATTCAACACACTGCAGCCCAAATTGTTAGCCAGAATTATGGGCTGCACTGCATCAGTTCTGATGATGGGGCAAGAATCCCTGCTATGGTAGTAGAGCCCAGTTCTGATGCCATTAGTAATGCTTCCCAGCTTTGTCTAGATGGAGGGAAATCTAAACCACCTTCCAGAAAAACAGTAGTTCAGCCTAAGAAGTTATCGGTGAGTCCCAGTACACGTGTGATTAGTCAACAAGTGAAAGGTCAAGGGGATCCTCTAGATGACTGTTTTCCAGAAGATGTCCAAGATGTTACCAAACATAAGTTAACCTCTTTTTTATTCAGTTATTTATCTGTTCAAGGCAAGAAAAAGACAGCACGTTCCCTTAGCTGCACCAGTGTGCCAGTGACTGGTAGTCTTGAGCAGTGTAACCCCAAAGCTGCAGCCACTGACAAGGAGGAGTCTCGTGCAAATGCCAGGGTTCTTTCTAGCCTGCCTGAAGACATGATGATGTTCAAAAAAAGTGCCTTCAAAAAACTAATTAAGTTCTACAGTGTCCCAAGCTTTCCAGAGTGTAGCATTCAGTGTGGCCTTCAGCTGCCTTGTTGTCCTCTGCAAGCCATTGTTTAACAAGTAAGAGAGCTTAGTCCTTAGAAAGAGAACCAAAGTTTGCTTAATCACATGCAATACCACGTGTTCTTTTGTTCAATATGTAAGCAGTGGCAATGACCACTGAGAAAATTACTGTGCTTTTACTGGTGAAAACCTCATGTATTTATAGATTAAAATGTCAAATAAATCTTGTAGGCATATAACATGAAACCCTGTGTTTTGTAGACTGTGGTAAAGAAAATGCCAATTTCTGCCTTATCCCTCCTGGTAATGGGCAGTTTCCAGCTGGTAGGTGAACAATTTTGACAAAGTATACTGGTTTTTTTGATACCTTGACTTGAGCTCTTTAGACTGCTGTGAGGATCTGTGTGTGCAGCCAGTGCCAACATAGTTCTGAACTATGCAAAAAGAAGGATGTAACTTCCCCCAGATATTTTTCTGCATTAGGGCAATTTTAAGACTGACAGTTAAATGCAGCAGCCCTGCCTTTGCATCTGTGCTAATCATGTACTGTGCACAGGAGGCTTTATGCAACCATGTTGCAAGAGTAGTTGCCCTTGCAAAGCACCTGTGGCCTTTCTCAGCATTACCTAAGGTCTGAAAATCACAAATTCATGAGGAAAGAGAGTAGGAATGATACTTCACCCTCTTTTATAATAGAAGAACTAAAGGGCATTAGGGAAGAAAGAGTCTTTTATGCAGCAAACAAATGTATTGCTACAATAGGCCAATGATTTATGTATTTTTCAAAAAATAATGAAAAAAATTGGGGGGAGAAAAATCTATTAAGGAGAGATTTAAATTCAGAGATATTTTGAGTTAGGAAGCACAATGATTGCTAGGAGATTATTCTGGGAAAGCACTGCTAGATGCTTGCTGCCTTCCTTCCAGACACCTACAGTCACCCCATCTTGAAGGCAGTGCACTCCAACAGATGGATCTTCCATGTGATCCAGAACAACTGTTCTCAAGTTATATAAACAATGAGCCTGGTTTATCAGAACAATGTCTGGACCCTTATACAACATCAGCTAAACTCGTCAGCTAAGATAAGAGTTGGAAAAGTTCTGTTTCATTAAATCAATCTCATATTCACTCTTTATTTCCGATTCTGATATTTGCTAATATTAATAAATAGGATTTCATGGTAAGCTTAGAATAACAGATGCTTTAAAAACTGAGTATTGCTAGATAGTGGCCCTTGCAGTGGCAACTAGAATTCAACAGTGTAAACAGTAATTATGTCAGCATTACTAGGCATTTGGATAGCCTCAAAATTTGAAACAAACTGCACTTCTCCAGTTCCTCTTATTTTCTCTAACGTTTACTCAGCCCTAGAGACCTGTGTTTAGTCAGTGTCGTGTTCCTTCTGATACTTTTAATTTAACACTAAGTTTTGTTTTGTTCTCTGAAAATACAAAGCAAAGCCCTGTTATGTATTAGTCTGTGCTGCACACTGGGACAATCTGTTTTTCTTCAGAAATCCCAAGGGGTGAAGGTGTGTTAGTCCACTGCTAGATATAGTTTTGTTTGTTCAAGTAGTTCTCATTATTATAATACTTTTAACAGGTAACTGCTAATGCATATGTTGTTTGAGGTTAATATATCATGAAATGTGTCACATATGATGTGGCATGATTTTGAAGTGGCTGGTACTTTTCTGGTTCTTAAGTTATTTTTCCAAAGGAATTACTAATCCAGATGGGTTATTTTTCGCTTTACTAACGTTAAGGACTGCCTTGGTGTATGCTGATGCTTTTGCCCAAACAGCTGTCACTTGCCTAGAAATTGCAGTATGTAAACTTCAGTGGTTTTGCTGAACCAAGCACCAATTTCAATTTTGTTAGCCAAGGGACAAAAAGTGCTTTTTTTATTGACTCAGTTGTCTGCTAGGTTTTATACTTCAGTGGGTGCTCAGTTAATGGGTTTATGACTTCCCAGGGATGCTCCATTTCCATAGTCTTCTCATTTCCAGCTTTCATCCTCCTAATGCTTTATGGAAGTACTTGAAAACCAGGTACCTTTCTGCTATAGCTCCACAATAGCTGACATTCACAAAACTCTGCATCAATATCCTCCATGGGGGATGGATTGAATTTCAAGTTGCCTGCAGAGGTCACAAGCGACTGCATAATTTAAACTTAGATAATAAACTTATATGAATTTAACTTATATAACAAACACCTCAGTATTTTGAAATGGGGGCTCCAAAATTAACCATCCAAAATAAATAAATAATTACATAAAAATGTAATATTTTTAGCAAAGTATTACTAACACTTGTTACTGTCACAGCTTGAATCTGAGCTCCAGCCCCAGTGAATGATGCACAGGCACACTGGGGGGGTTAGTTCCTTCATATTTGTAGGGTGCAAGGAACTATGACTATGTGGTACTGATTATTTGCCTGTTTCTGCCACTGTGTCAAGCAGTGCATAGGTTCCCCTTGACTTCAGCTACGAAATCCTAATTGGTCAGCACTTGCTTATACTCAGCTTTAGACAATAGAAATCTGTTTCATTAACAGGAAATACAGTTCATGAAATTTATTCACTACTCTTTTCTCAGTTTCTGTGCTCTATTCTCTCATTTGCCTTTTTTCCTGCCTACTTCTATTTTCAGTTCTTTGTAAGGGGCTTGTTGCTACAGTGCTCATTTGCTCTATTCATAGAGCAGGAAAGGAAGTTAAAAATAAAAAAAGCTAAACCTTGTCAGATCCTATAGAGCTCCTTAGACCTGGGAAAGAGACTTCCACTCTGCAGGTGCCAATATCCAAGACTTTGCAGGGTTTGCCAACAGGCAAGGATATTTTGCTTTGATCCACGAGATGTCACCAGTGGGCAACAAGTAACTGGAAATTTGCATTAAATTGGGATTCAGGCTCACCGTGCAAGACAGGGAGCATGGGAAAGCCCAACACTCCTCATGCTGCTAACCACAGGATGCTCCAGGCTGCAGCATTTTCTGTGCAGACAGCCTCCTCTCTTTTCTCTTCAGTTTTCTATTTTGTTATGATTTGATGGGAGATTACACTGTAATGGTACAAGACAGCATGCAGCATTCTAGCTAGCTGTGTGACAGCAATCATACCACGAAGCAACTCTTACTTAATTACTGGTGAATGGCAGAGAGCTGGGATTCAGAATGGATGACTTGTGGCTTCAGAGAACCGGTGTAACAGGCCAGCTGTGTTTGTTCTTTCCTTACCTGTGTCACCTGACACTCCCCACTGAAGTTCACAGCTGGGTGTTTTTCAGGATTGCTAAACTGAAGCCTTCAAGGGTAGTTTTTCAGTTTCAAATGTCTTTCTGTCACATTTCAAATTCACAGCTACTACAGTTTCTATTAAATGCTTATTTGCAGTTTTACCACAGTTTTTCTGGAAGGTTTCAATCAGATGTGACAGGTTGACCTGATCTAATTCATTGGTGCAGCCAAAAGGGGTGATTCTGTTTCCCTGTCCTCCTTATGTGACCTCCTAACTCCACTGCCTCCCTTGCTCCAGCTCTGGTGCTCTCCTGACAGTTCAGTGATGAATTCAGCTCACTAAGCCAGCAGAAAACTGTGTTTTGCTGGGTGAGTTCTCTGTTGACTCACTGAGTAGAACTGGCTTTTTAAGGAATCATATTAGTACCAATATTAGGACTAATACATAGGAAGGAATGAGGAAGTAATAAGCACCAGCTTGATCTCCCTCCCCTACATGCTACATCCCAAATTCTCCCTCTGTTCCCTCCCACCTTAGGAAGGAATGCAAGGTGTCTATTAACCAAGCAAAATAATTTTTGTAAATGTAAGAACCAAGTTCTTAGTCTATGGAGAGATAAATCACTGAACCTACTCACGGTGGAGTTCAAAGCCATTCCATTTTCACCCTCCCTGCCTGGCAGAGGTTCAGGAGATGAAGGTCAGTGAAATACATGCTCTGGCACTACTTAAACTGTGCTAGCATCAGCAGTTTATTGGTATTTTTCCATATCTTTCCCAACTTCTGAGGGATGATGCTTACAAGTCTGTAATGCATCAGGATGTCTAGTAGGTCAGCTAGGTGAGCTGAATTGACATCTTTGTTCACTGAAATAATTTGCAATCATAAACTTTGAAAAAAGTCTCCTTCAAAAGGAGTGAGCCACTCCTGTGACTAGAATTTCCAAGCAAGTTTTGTCTAATGAATTACCCAGGTCCCTCCTAAAATCAAGAAATCTTGATGTTATAGGGTGCCTTTACTTTGCTGCAGCTCTTTTATGTTCCTTTATGTTAATTACATTGCTTTTGAAAGATAAAATGGTGCAACCTGGCTGGAACTAAACATGCCATGACTTGTTAGACAAAACCATATTGACAGTCCAGATTTGTGTGCTATATGCTTCTGTTCTTCCTAAATTTATTGGATTTGAAACCTCCTTCCTTTTCAAGAAATTGGAATTTTGCAGCTAAGAATTTGTTTTCCTAGAAAATTGCCTACTGAATCTCCTTGCAATACCGTGTATTGAAGCTAAAAATCTTAAACTGTTTTGGATTGAGTGGTGAGCTTGGATTTAGCTCTCTGCTCATTTATGACTGGCTAAAGAAATTCTGGGTGAAGCTGTCTGAGTCACAGTGAGACACAT